AACAAAATTCCGATAGACACGTAGATAGGTATATGTTGTACTATACTTTGTCTGGTGTTCTGTCGGGTGACCGAAGGCACTTGCGTGTGTCGTGTGTTGTCTGTTGTCGATCCGTTCATGGCAAGTTGCAGAACCACCGACAAGTGCTGAAACCGAAGATGGTCAGAAGAGACGAGTGAAGCTGGTCAGCAAGTTGTGGCGACAAGCCAGTGGAGCTGGGATCCGCCGTCAAAAATGGGATGTGTTGCCGGAACAGTCTGGAGCTGTAGTCTCCCCATGGCCCTGGAGGCGAACCTGGAGGGACCTGGCGAACGAGCGCACCTGACATCCGAGCCCCGTGGAAGCAGCTCGTCTTTCCGGTGCATTGTCTGGCGGCGGGGGTGCTGTTATGCCAGCGAGTCCTCGTCAAACGACCGTGCCTCTGAAAAAGGCAATCTGGGTCAAGGCCAGCCCGCAGTCGGCCTGGCGGGAACACGCGCGGCGCCCCTCTGGCCCACGTGCAGTGAGTCAGCTGCGCGCGTGACAGCGAGCCGGCGTCCGCGTGTCTGGTGGTCTGACGCATGGCGCGGCGACCCCCATTGGCGGAATCTGCCCTGACGACCAGCGGCGCTTCTGATTGGACATTTTGGTTGGACCCGGTGTAAATAAAAGAAGCCCTGCGGCACGTCGCGATCGGAGGTCATGGGAGAGGAGTCCCCGTGTCGGGAGTGCCGACATGTGTGTGAGTCAGCGGTCTTAGGCGAAAGGCTGACCTATGTGTTAGAGAGGAGAGCTCGGCTCTTCGAGTCTCTGTCGGCCCCAGTGCCGAAATTGTAACGCCTCTGTAAATATGCTGTACATAAACCTTGTTTAACTCACCGTCGTCTCGTCCGCTCGTCTTATCAGCTCTGCGCAGAAGCAGTCGCGAGCTGATAAACATACGCTACCAAACGGCTGGTGACCTTCCCGGCGGAGTTGAAAGCAGTGGCGCCTTCGAGGCCGTGTTGGCGTCCCCGTCTTTCGCAACAGTGGTGGCTTCGGCGGGATCGGTCCGTCGTTCGCAACAGCGTGTGACAGATTGTGGTTCTCAAACAGTCTAGTCACAATATCTTTCATTAAGAACGACCAGGCTCGCTCCAATGCCATCACCGTGTTGCAGTGCGAGTATATATACACACACAGTGTTTCTGTCGTCTTTCTTGATGATGTAGTGGGCAAACTTTCATTGAAGAGTCACGGTTTTACCGATGATTCCCCCTCAGGAGCTTCGCCCACTCATCATCATTTACCCCGTGGATATGCTGTGATTTTTTTTGCTTGACAGCACAACATACATATGCTTAAGTCTAGTTGCTGTTCCATCATTTTACGGTGCAACACAAGCATACGATACGTACGCAGTTGCTCTCTTAGCTAAATTTAGGTAACCTCTGCACCGCCCAACAGGGGCCTCACCAAGCGGAGAGATATGGGGTGTTTATGGCAGCAGTGCGTTTTGTAGCGTTATACCGCACATTTTCACGATTGCTATGACCTCTACAATCACCTGTGAGTTCCGAAAAGTTGCGATGGTGCCACCTGGCCGGATGCTGGATGACGTCACGTTAAGGATGCTTCGACGCCTGCCGTGGTGCGCCTGCATAACATGCGCTCGCATCGTGCGCTGTTTGCGATCGCTTTTCGCTTGACTCAAGCTTCAGATAAATGACAAAAACAGCAACGGTAATGCTCCTAATAAGACAAGGAAGAAATTTGTGTTCAGTAAAACTACGAATGGTAACCGCGCTCACTGTACACGCTTTGATCAAGTTTGTGTTATTGGGTGAAGATGCTTGTATTCTCGGCTACAGCAGCTGCATTCCGACATGAGTGAAGAGCGAGAGCATATTTGAGCTTGATTACAAATTTATTCTGCAGCGTGTCCCGTATTCAAGTACTGGTTTTCACTCATAAGACAGCATATTTACATTAATAGGTTGCTTTCTTCTTGAGCGCTTCTCTTCAGAGGTATAATGTTATCACTTCTGAAAGTTCTCTGTGTCGGACATATGCGACTACTTAGCCGTGTTTTCTTTTGTTTAGTTTTTTTGCCTGTGTGCCAAGCTTTACGCACATAACGATAGTTATAGCACGAGAACAGAACGACAATACAGAGACAAGAAGGCCACGAAGGACACGTGTCCTTCGTGTCCTCCTTTTCTCTGTGTCGTTGTTCTGCTCTCACAAGGCCACGAATGACACGTGTATTTCGTGTCCTTCTTGTCTGTGTGTCGTCGTTCTGCTCTCGCGCTATAACAATTGTCATGTCATACCAACCAGCCCAAGCTGCCACATCTCTACGCACAGATGTGAAAATCTATCGTAAAGTATTTCCGAGGTGCTTGTTCGAGAATACCACGGCAGCTATTGAATTTTTTTTCTCTTTTGTATTCGCTCACTCGTCATGCAGTTTCACACTTTTTTCGCAGTTATCTCGGGGCTTCATCTCAATAAAAAGTGAGTTGATGTTAATTGGGGAAATTTCTCACAGCATCGTACCAATGGCGCTGTTACACTTGTAAGTACCGGTTTGGATAGCTGACTCGTGAATTCATTTTCCTTGCACTTGATTGCACCCTCCCTTCCTTAACTTGTACGTGGACATGACGTGCGAAACCAGTCACCGACTCACTTAGGTGAAGTTCATTCAATTATTACCTGGGCCACGTCACTGAGAGCGCCACCAATACCATTCACAACGCTCATTGCAACTTTCGGTCGTTTGCTTTGCAAACGATTGTTATGGATACTACTCCCACGTGACATAAATGTGCAGCTTGTGACGCGGTGTTTGGTTGGACCAGCAGTTTATACAAATCAGAAGTTATGGCCGTATTATTTTCAACAGCGAACAGCTGTTTAAAAGTAATATTTACGCAATTCAAGTACATTAACATCTCAGCTATTCCCTAGACGTATTGTGTTGGAGCGTGTAATTGGTTCTAATAAAATCTTTGCTCGGTAGATTCATCTAATGTCTCTTTTAGCGAAAAGCGAAAATTTGTCAAATCACCTGAATGATCTGCACAACCACCACGATGTACTTAGTGAATTCAAAAAACATTCTAATTTTATTAGTATTTCTTCAGAACGCGCGTTCCGAACCCGTTGTGTACGCCAAATTGTAATAAAGTTAGAATGATCGGCGTAATTATTTTAGCACTGATTTCTAGGCATAAGCGTTGAAAACAATCAGTGCCTTGCTGTAATGCCCCTCCAGTTTCAGAGTGAATCGGCCGTTCAGAAGAAAGTTTGCCAGTTAGAGTATTGCAGCTTTTTGCAGCTCATTTAAAATTCGCAAGCTGTGAAAACAGCCGCCTTCTACCTTGCTACCGCGCCGCGGTGGTCTAGTGGGTAAGGTACTCGGCTGCTGACCCGCAGGTCGCGGGATCGAACGGCGGCGGTGACGGGTGCATTTCTAATGGAGGCGGAAATGCTGCAGGTCCTTGTTCTGAGATTCGGGTGCACGTTAGCGAACCCAGGGTGGTCAAAATTTCCGGAGCCCTCCACTACGACGTCTCTCATAATCATATGGTGGTTTTGGGACGTTAAACCCCACACATCAAATCAATTCAAGTCAATCTTTCTTGCTAGATATGCATGGCAACTATGAGCAGTTATCACCACCCTATCGGGTAAGAGCGGGCACACGGCGAGTGCAGAAAAGGTTATACTCGGCCGCGGATCAAGCGAGTCGTTGTCGCGACGTCACGTCACCCCGACGGCCGCGCCGCCAGTGTTTCTTCTCGGGACTTATACAAAACGGTATCACACGCTGTCAGGGCTGGTCGCGTATTCAACGCCGTAACTCATGTATTCGAGCAACACTTTTAGCGCTGGCGTAGTCTTTCAGACACTTTCCCCAGGCTCTCCCCTCTGGTTGAACGCCGAGTACGAAAACCGTCTGGCAGATTTTTTTGTTTTGTTAAACATGGGGTTAGGTAACTGCGCAAGGTCATAATTTTACGAAGACCACCACATAACTTTTTCATACTAGCAAAAAAAATATTATCCAGTGCTAACTTTTGAACAGGTCATAAAATACATGTTTGAAAAGGGTGGATTCAATTTAGACATTGACTCTCCAACACCATTGATGGAGTGTGGTGGCTGGGTACAATGGGCTTCATGCCTCCAAATATTGTCGTCCAGCATAACGAAAGCACGCCGATTAGCCCCGGAAACACGTAGGCATGGTAGCCCAAACGCACACATTGCTAACCATTGTGTATAGTAAGGCAATTTAGGCAGCAAATTGTATGCGAAATAAAGTTCGACACAAGTTTGGGTGTGTAAACACGCAGAGAGAAGACTGAACAAATTGTCTGCCACGGTGGATCAGTGGCTACAGTGCTCGGCTGCTGACTCAAAGATTATGGTTTTTACCGCAGCCGCAACGCGTCGTATTTTGGTGGAGAAGAAATGATAGAGAACGGTGTAATGTGCGATACTAGTGCACGTTAAATACCGCATGGTGAGCATTTCCCGAGCCCTCCGTCATAGCGTCACTTATAATCATATTGTGCATTGGAGCGTATAGCCCAAGGTATTGTTGAATAATTGAGCAGCACAGCTGAACCCTCCGGCACTTGCGTTGCGCTGCTTGTAGTCCATATTTCTATGCCCTAACTTCTTTTATAACATATTCTTGCGAGCTATCAGTATCCAGAAGCTGACTACGTTTGCGGCTCCCGTCTTCCTCCATACGAAGTAGCTGAGCTTTATGTAGTTCTAAAGAATTCTGAGCTTCACGGTAACTAACTTAGCAACCATAGGTATCTCGCACTTACTTCCAAACAGAAAACTTTAGTTGTCTAGAAGATCGGGTGAAACGACTTGATTCCGTGTAGTACCCAGAAAATTATGGCGTCTGTAACGACACCTTGTGTAGTCTTCATTTCGGTTAATTTCTTTATATATGAGCAATAATAAAGCATGTCGAGCCCGGACACGAAGCTCAAAAATTTATTTCAAATACTCACCTTCAATTAATGCTTTGAGGTGTGATGTATCGGTCAGAAATATACGGTCAATACTAGGATAATCTTCGGGATTGGTGCTCCTCAGCCGAATGTAGCCTGATGATTTGGGGCGCAGAAGTATTGGCACAATCATTATTACGTTGTCACCATACTTTCGCTTGTAGTAGTTGTCATGTATCTACAATAGTCCACAAGAAATACGTCACACACATGTAGTGCATTTTATGTTTTGGTTAAACTGAATACTTGAAACATACGTTTGAGTAACTGCACCTCCCAATTGCACACGCATTCTTCACACTTCATATAACGACCATGACGTTCCAAAATTTAAGAATAACTTTTGAAAAACAGGCATAGAATACAGTGCTCTCCCTCTCGGGGAGTGACTGCCTTGTTCTTTCTTTTAATTGCATTCACTAAAAATTATATGTTTTTAAAAGCATACATTGTCCTGGGACCATAGCGCTGACGAAGGCAACAGTTGACGTCTCCGACATTAAACTTTTTATTTGAAACAATTTGTGCCTGCGTAACGGAAATCAATACCCGCCGCACACTTGTAGTGGCGAACACAGCATCGGCCGTCAATAAAAAGAAAAGTGCACTAGCACCTCAGCTTTTATACGTGTATCATCGCATTGTTTGATTGATTATTGATTGATATGTGGGGTTTAACGTCCCAAAACCACTATAATATAATAAGAGACAACGTAGTGGAGGGCTGCCGAAATTTCGACCGCCTGCGGTTCTTTCACGTGCACACAACCTCAGTACACAGGCCTACATCATTTCCGCCTCCATCGGTAATGCAGCCACCACCGCCGCCGGGATTCGATACCGCGACCAGCGGGTCAGTAGACCTCAGCCACTAGACCGCCGCGGCGGGGCGTGTATCATAGGATGTTCTTTCTGGTCTTATCTATAGCGACCGCGAAAATTCCAGCCCTAACTCTAGATATATATGTGGAATTTAACGTCCGAAAACCACCATATGATTATGAGAGATGCTGCAGTGGAAGGCTCCGACAATTTCGGCCACCTGGGGTTCTTTAACGTGCAGCTAAACCTGAACACACGGGCCTACCGCGTTTTCACCTTCATCGAAAATTCAGCTGCCGCAGCCGAGATACAATTCCATGACCTGCGGGTCAGCAGCCGAGTACCTTAGCCACTAGACCACCGCGGCGGGGCGTGTATCATTGGATGTTCTTTCTGGTCTTATCTATAGCGACCGCGAAAATTCTAGCCCTATCTCTAGATATATATGTGGGGTTTAACGTCCTAAAACCACCATATGATTATGAGAGATGCTGCAGTGGAAGGCTCCGAAAATTTCGACCACCTGGGGTTTTTTAACGTGCAGCCAAATCTGAACACACGCACCTACTGCGTTTTCGCCTTCATCGAAAATGCAGCTGCCGCAGCCGGGATTGGATTCCATGACCTGTGGGTCAGCAGCCGAGTACCACAGCCACTAGACCACCGCGGCGGGGTCAGTTAAAACTCTAATGTTCGAAATTCGCACGTATTGTGACTCGCAAGGTTCCAAGATTATCTAGGTCATTTCCAACCATTCTAGCACTCTTTCCAATGGGCAACTGGTACATTGAAATAGAATATTAACATGAAAATAGAAAGAAAGGAGCTTGTATGGTCATATATTGGTTTAATCTAATCATAGAATATACCAAAGCCTTTAGAGTGGGAAGTGGGCATATTACCTCTGCGATAATTTGGCAAAGCCGCGCGCAACTCTTGAAAAGACGGCACACAGCGAACTACGGATTGGGGTGCCCCAAGCGACGCTGCTTCAACTTCACTTTTTGATGCTCGTTTTGAGCTCTTTCCTGATTCAGTACACTTCTCTGCTGGGCACGCCTCACAAAAAGCAGCCATAAACGGCACTAGTTCCAGCATTGCGCTAATCTATCTATCTATCTATCTATCTATCTATCTATCTATCTATCTATCTATCTATCTATCTATCTATCTATCTATCTATCTATCTATCTATCTATCTATCTATCTATCTATCTATCTATCTATCTATCTATCTATCTATCTATCTATCTATCTATCTATCTATCTATCTATCTATCTATCTATCTATCTATCTATCTATCTATCTATCTATCTATCTATCTATCTATCTATCTATCTATCTATCTATCTATCTATCTATCTATCTATCTATCTATCTACCTATCTACCTATCTATCTATCTATCTCTCTCTCTCTATATATATATATATATATATATATATTTGTAGCTGCACCGCTCGCCAACACTACACCCACCACAAATGCTTCATCGCAAATAGAGAAAGCGTGTATAACGGTGCCACGCACATGGTTTTCCAGAGTAAACGCAAATAGATTGCACTTGCACTGTGAAGACATTCAAAATGTGGACTTTGTTTCTTGATGCCAGATTTCACAGATTTCCAGTTTTCATAGTGATCCCAATCTGTGGTTGCTCTTAACATATTCTTTTTAAGGCCATTACTGAACTGAAGTTACCTTACTAAATTGAAGAATGATGCAGTTTTGATTACAAAAACACGTACAATCAACACAAGAAGCGTTTTCGCTAAACTTGAATAAAGTTTCGCGTATATTCACGATGCAGAAAGGCTTAAAGCATTATTATTGAAGAAAAAATTGAAGCTCACCTGTGATACGCCTACCAGACCGGCTAGGTATCCTGCTTCGATAGTCGTGGGGTTGAGTGTCACGTAAAGAAACTGAATATCTGGCGTGCTCAAGAAGGCAACGCACTCAACACCGTATGCATGAATAAGTGGCCCTGAAACAAGAATTTAGTACAGTTTCGCATATATCCTAAGTGTCTAACAGAACCTGTACATATGATGACAAGAAACTATGGCTGCACGCTCTGCCATGTTAGTAAACATAGGTCTGGTGGATGCCTCAAGAAAATTTGTCTATCTGGTGTTTTTTAAAGAGCACTGACATTGCAGAGTAGGCGACCTTCTCGTAATCCACTTGTGACCACCTGGCAAAAATTCGAGCACGCAATGTTTGTGTCAGCAGGCAAGCAACATGACCATTTCTTCAAGGCTCAAGTTTGAGGGAAAGTTTGGTGGCTTCATAGGATTAACATATTGAACGATAGTAGTGCTGTAACACACTGGCTGGAAGTGTCCAAAGGGAAAAGCCGAGTTTTATATTAGTCCCACTTGACTGATTGTTGTGAATGCAGAAAATTATTCGACTAACTCGATGCTAGATATCTTGAAGAACACCAGATTGAGAAACCCTATAGCGTACGTAAATTCGAGCTGAGGACGTGCATAAATGGATGTTAGATGGCCAGTTGCGTAATTTACAACCAACATACCCAAGACATTTGAGGCACTGATGCGGGTTGTATATGAAGATAGAAGAAAAATCTTGGTGTGAGAGTAATGCTTAAATCGTTACAATTTTTTTCGCAATTTTTGTTACTGCAAGAAAAGCGAAAAAGAACCACTGTTAGCTGCAGAAAACGTGATGGAACAGTTGAAATCAGTGTTATCATTGGCTCTTGCATCTGTTCAATATAAACTTACCTACTCGCGTAGCGTTATGTCTCTTTAGAATGTTCGAATGGAACCGTGAATACTCGCATGCAGTGTAGTGTTAGCTACGTAGGGGGGTATTAGTGAAATGGAGTCAGTAGCAGAGAGTTAGATTCATTCTAATATATGCCAGATTTGTCATGTGAATATTTTACTACAAACATCAACTTGTGAGTTTGATTTATAAAGGTTCATTAGGTCCAAGATTCGAACGTGACCAGTGCATTCGCATTTTGATGGAGGCGAAATGGTAAAAGCTCATGTACTCTGCGATATCCGTGCATGTTAAAGAACGTCACTTGGTTGAAATGCCCATGTCCCACAACTACAGCGTCTCGAATAATTATATCTTGCTTTTGGGACGCAAAACGTCACATAATCTTGTAAAAAGTAGCCAATGCTCACAGTCGAATGAAAGAAGCAATTATGATCAGTCTGGTGCAGGTACTAGTTCGTTCATCGTCACCCGTATTCCGCGAAGTTTTCTTTAGATACGAAGCAGCTTATTCGGTGTGCATGTTTTTGCGCATACGCAACAGCAAGCGCAAGTGCTGCCAGAACGCGCTCACGTATTAGCGCATTGCGGCCTGTGTACAGTGCTGGGTAAGACGCAGCGGCCCTACCCCTTACAAGCTCTCAGCATTCATGTTATTGCTTGGGAGAACTAGATCTTGCAGACGCGCGATGAACCAGCGCATAGTATCCTATTTGTTATTTTGTTTGTTTTCTTGCTACTCTGAATATTATAGCGCTCATATAGACTGAATAGCATCAGAATGTTTCGCTGGCAGTTTTAGGGGCGAATCTCCTTATAGCGGCACCCGCTCGTCCTTCGTAGTCGTAGTAGTCGCAGTGTGTAACCAGTCTTACATTTTGACCTTCAAGGTGGTGCCGGTGAGAGATTTCTTCTGTGCATTGTTGAACAATAAAAAATTTGCAGCGTGCGCCTTAACTAAAAGCCTAATTTTCCTGTCTCTCATTCTCCCTTAGAAGCCATTGGCATGTACATTGAGCACTATCTGACAAAAAAGGGTGGCTACGTTATGCTCGCTGTGCATAACCTCTTTTGTTTTAGAAAGGTTTAGCGAGCGTTGGGCCGCAGTGTCATGAATACAGTGAACTAGTATATACCATGAACTCGAGGTGGTTAAATGTGTGAAGTAGACACAAAGCGCAAGCCGTAAGAAAGTGTGCGTGTGCCTCCTCTCGTTCAGTCCTTGGAATATCCGCTGGGTGGTGGTGCTTCAATATGAGGAATATATGATGAAGAAATGCGATATGGTGGTACTTGGAGTGTTGAATAGGTGGACGAACGGACACAGAGACAGATGCATGGACGGACGCACGGATGGCTGTACGGACGGACAGACGCATGGACGGACGCAGGAGCGGTTGCATGGACGCACGGGCGTCCACACAGACGCACGCATGGATGGACGGAAGCAAGAACAAATGGACGGACGGATGCTTTGCCCCACTATCCATCATTCACTCCGTGGATATGCTGCCATTTTTTAACTGGCAGGAAAACACGCCTGACCCCCTACAGGTGCTTTATATGTAAGATAATTTTCCTACATATTATAACAGTGCAAAAACTTGAAAAAGAACACCCAATATATTGTTCCTTAAAAAGATAAGCGCGCATGAAATTTTGAAATGCTGTAGGTCTGGTCTTACCTGTTTTAAATAGGGCATACTTTGGCACTGTAGATGGTAAATAGTAGTTGATTTCTATGTTTTCCGCTGACGATCCTGCGATTCCGTTCATGGTGACGTGGTCGTACAGATTCTCGCCTACGGGAAGATCCTCAATGACGTTGATCTGAAAGATGTATGGAGCGGAGCAGAGTGAGCAGTGTGAAAGGTTGAATATACGGAAATGTATTTTTTCAGTGAAACAGAAACTCAGATTGCTGGCAGGAATATACCACAAAGTAGTGTGGGCTGGCGTAAATGGTGGCAGGAGAAGAAAAATGAGGACGAAACAGGTAAGGGCCCGGGGAGACGCAGACGAAGCATAGACACGAACTGGCATACGTGGACGCCATTTGTTAGATCGTGGTTTCACTTCGTCCTTTTCTTCTTTGTGCCCCACCTGTATTTTTTAACTGGAAATCAACTAGCTCAACAGTAAGGCCCCTTGCATTAAAATAAAGCAAAAATGAATCGTTTTTGTCTTGGCACACAGTTTCGGGGCACCCGTTCTTGCGCTAAGTGGCGTCAGCCTCGGCGCAACCGGCAGAGCGTACGAGAATGATAGTGATCACGGAGTGCAGTGCAGAAGATGATCACAGGCGGCGATGACAAAAAGAGCTTAAGGAGGAGACACGCCAGTGCTGGGAAAACAACTTCCACGCCTGTCACCCGCAGCGCTGCGGTAGTAACCTCATCACGCGTTGGTTGTTACGGAGTGCACCCATGCGCGCCCTTCCGCGTTCTCATGGCTAGTGAGGCCGTCGCGCTAAGCTAATTGTACGGCAGTTGATTTGAAACGGGCTGCATGGAAGTGTGCACGCTAGTCATGCTAGTCACTGTCTTTTCTTTTCTTTGTAATCCGTGTGCCTATATGCAAAAAAGTGTCATCAGCTCTTCCTGACAATCAGTAATTCAAGTGGCAAAAAAGCGTCGTTGGCCAAAGCTGCTGAGTGAGCTCGCTAGCAGAGGCTAAGCACCACTACTGCCATAGTCCAGGGCGGTGCGCTGCTGAAGCAGAAATATTTGCCTTGACATATCGCGATACCCAAACACTCCGAAAAGCGATACTTAGGTATCACATAACGAAATATCACCATATTTAATAAATACTTGTATTATTTGCATCTACGATGTCCGCATCAGCATGCCTACCTTTTTTTTAATGAACACTGCTGATGTTTAACGGCTGCTTTCAATGACAACACGAGTGACGAAGTGCAAGGAAAAGTGGCATTGAAACAAGGAATGTAGTGCTCATCCTTTGAAAAGCTCAAAAAGCCGAATAATGATGCGTAGGAATGGTTGTCACAATGCGTATACAATATCAAACACAACGACGAAGTAAAGTTAGGAACACCCTTGCGCCGAAGTATACGGAATATTGCTGCCGTATACTCTTGCTCTCCGTATAGTCTCGGTGTGAACTGTCCGCTGTTGAGAGCACTTCTCTGAAAAAAATTCGTCAAAGCAATGATCTCGTAGGCAGACAGTTGGCCACTAAACGGTACAAACAGTGATTTGAGGTCGAACTCTCATGATACGTATACTTTCGCTCATGCGTGCACACGTACTTTCCCAACGATAAGGCCTCAATACCTAACTTATATAAAGGCACGACAATGAAAAAAAATGTTATCTTTGTTTTCAATAAAAAGCATGTTTTTCTTCTTTAACTATAAAAGAGGAAGCAGACACTTGTAATAACGTGAGCAGCAGACAGCATACCAAGAAGCAACTGATAAGTTTATTAGAAGACGCACCATATATAGGCGCAGAACCACGTGATCGGTCGCACAGGAATGCGCGCACTGGGTGCGCAGTGATAAGTGACGTCACGCTACAACACTCCTTCCCCTTCAGATTACTTCCGAAAGTCACTGGACTGGTATCTGTTCGGGGCATGTCGTACACGTGCACTACGACGCAGAGTTGGAAGTTCGGCTGCAGGTGGCGCGTCGTCGGCACTGGGCTGGTCCGGCGAGCCGGAGGCAGCTGCTCCGGCCGTGGGCGATGCAGTTGCCGGAAGGAGAGACGTCGCAGAGTCGGTTGCGTGGGGATTTACGAGAGGCGACCCGGCGACTGGCCCACACGCCATCGGAACCGTCGGTGGAGTCGTGTCTACGGATGCCGTTGGAGCAGGTTGTGCCTGCGGATAACTTGAAGAATCCTGGCTTCCGTGGCGGGCTCTGATGTGGTCCGAATGCGTAAATCGCACCGCCTGCGACACTTTCACCAGATAGGTTACGGGACTGATAACCTGTGTCACGATACCATCTTCCCACGACACTGTTTCACCTCGCACAGTCTTCACCCACACAGCGTCCCCCACAGCAAAACATCGCGGAACCCCCCTAGACATGTCCTTTTGCACTTTGGTACGTTGCTGCTGCTCCCGCATGGAGAGCTCGAAATCTGGTTTTAGCAATGACAGCTTTACCCGTGGCTGTCTTTTCAAGAATAATTCTGCCGGGGTCTGGCGAGTGGTACTGTGCGGAGTAGTCCTGTAACTCATTAGATAGCTGTCCAAGCGTTCCCGAAATGAATGTTTGTGGTGGCTAGCTTTGTCCTGCAAGACATGCTTTGACAGTGCTTGTTTGGTAGTCTGCACTAAACGCTCGGCCGCTCCGTTAGAAGCCGCGTGATAAGGAGGTGTCTTGACATGCCTTACACCGTTTACACTCAAGAAGGCCGCGAATTCTTCGGAAATGAACTGCGGTCCATTATCACTCACCAGTACCTCTGGCAGACCATACGCGGCAAACATACTACGTAGCTTCTCAATGGTTTTGTTAGCAGTAGTGGATGACATAGGCGAGACCTCGATCCATTTAGAGAACGCGTCGACGAGAACCAAGAACGCCTGAGAGCCCTTTACCGCATAATCGACGTGCACGCGTTGCCAGGGCCTTGTGGGATAATTCCATGGTTGCAAAGGAACCGGTGAAGCAGCTTTTTGGACGGCCTGACAAACCTGACATTGTCGAACGTAGCTCTCAACCGAAAGGTCGAGGCCAGGCCACCACACAAAGCTTCTTGCTAACGCTTTCATGCGACTAGATCCCGGGTGGTCCTCATGCAATAGCTGCAAGACCTGTAGCTGGAGCTTATCAGGTATGATCACCCTTGATCCCCACGTTATGCATTCTTGCTCTACTGATAGCTCGTCGCGCCGGGAATAAAATGGTCTAAATGCTTCAGAGCACTCTGAAGGCCATCCATTTAAGATGAAGTGCGTCACGCGAGACAAGGTGGGATCGCGTCGTGTGGCTCGCGCTACGTCATCCGCTTTGAGGGGCATGCTGTCAAATAGCAAGAGACACTCGGAAGGTTCATCGGCCGCTACAATAGGCCGTGGAAGCCGAGACAGAGCGTCAGCCACTTCAACATTTCTTCCCTTTCGGTATTTTAGTTTATACTGGTACGCTGCCAGGGTAATTGCCCATCTTTGCATTCGAGCTGCAGCAAGCGCAGGCACCGGCTTGTCATGGCCTAATATTCCGAGCAATGGCTGATGATCTGTATAAAGAGTGAACTCTCGTCCATACAAGTAGCGGTGGAATTTTCTTAACCCAAACATCAGTGCTAATGCATCGCGTTCGCACTGAGCATAGTTTTTCTCTGCGGCTGTAAGTGTTCTAGAAGCAAATGCCACTGGCCTTTCGTGTCCCTCTGCGGTCTCATGAAAAATGACAGCCCCCAATCCATACGACGAAGCGTCACATGTCATAGCCATTGGTTTCGCCACATCGTAAAAAGTGAGCACATTACTCTTGACAAGTAACAGTTTCGTAGAAGCAAATGCTTCGCTACACTCCCGTGTCCACGACCACCTTTCGCCCTTGCGCAACAGACGGTACAATGGCTCTGCCACGCAGGCAAGGTTACTTAAGAACTTTGCATAAAAGGTTAACATGCCGAGATAAGCCTTTAGCTCTGTTTGGCAAGTGGGCTCTGGCGCTTCTGTGATCGCCTTAATCTTTTCTTCTGTAGGATATATACCTTCAGCGCACACAGTGTGACCGAGATAAGTCACAGTGCTCTGAAAAAACCGACACTTTTCCTCTTTCAGTGTCACGTTGTAGTCACTCAGCCGCTGCAGGACTAGTTCCAACGTTTTTTTGACAGTCGGCTAAGTCTTTTCCCGACACAATGACGTCGTCTATGTAACATCCCACGTGCGGTATGCCTTTGAGCACCTCATCCATGAAGGACTGAAAAATGGCTGGCGCACTGGCTACCCCAAATGGTAAGCGCTGGAACTCGAACAGCCCCCTGTGCGTATTAATAGTTAGCAGTGGTCGGGACTCGGCAGTGAGCGGAATCTGCTGATACGCGGCCGAAAGATCCAACACACAAAACACTCTGCCGCCAGCTATGGCAGAGAACAAATCTTCCGGTCTAGGCAATGGGTAGTGGTCGGTCTTTAAAACAGGATTAATGGTGACTTTGTAGTCCCCGCACAGCCTCAGTGAACCATCTTTCTTTTGGATTACGACTACTGGCGTGGCCCAATCGCTCCGATTTACGGGGCGTATAACACCGCTTTTCTCTAGCCTTTCTAGCTCGCCTTCCACTTTCTCTCGAAGCGCAAATGGGACGTTTCTGGCCTTGCCAAAAATAGCCGTACAATTCTGGCTTAAAACTATCCTTGCTTGATAGTTTTTTACTTTTCCAGGTTGCTTAGAAAACACCCCTGGGAACTTCTTTTTAACCGCCTCTACCTTGTGAGAGTCGCTTACATTTATAGCAAACACGCTTTTCCAGTCAAGCCCGAGCCTTTCAAGCCAACTTCGCCCCATCAGCAATGGTAGCTGCTTGCCGTTATCCTTGACGATAATAGCGGGTAGCCGCAAAGACTGTTTTCCCACCGTAACGGAAACGTTGCATTGCCCTTTTACTGGAACAGGTTCCCCAGTGTATGTTTTTAGGGTGACTCGAGATGGCTCGCACTTCACATGAGGAAATGCGTTCAGCCTCACACTCTCAGGAATTAGTGTTACAGCTGCTCCCGTATCAATCTGCATGCAGAGGTCTTGCCCTTCTACGTTTAGCTGCACTTCATACCCAGAACGCACGGTATTGATAACATGGTACACATCTAATTCAGAGTCACTATCAGAGCAGTCCACCACGTTTGCAGTCTTGAGTTCTCTGCGATTACTTGGACGCATCTTCTGTAGATGACCGATTTGAGAACAGCTGTGACACTGGACGTTCTTATACCAGCAAACACTAGCCGCATGCGCCTTGCCACATCTTTCGCAAACTCGCTTGGCTTCCTTGAGCTTCCGAAGCTTCGATTTCTTTTCGCTTCCTTTTCCTCTTATCGCCATTGCATAAAAAGCCGCTTCCTTGCCTTCTGCATGAAGTAACGCTGTCTGTCGCGCAGCCTGCTCTCGGTCCTGGGCTATCTTGCACGCCTTTTCGAAGGTTAAATCTTCTTCAGCAAATAGGGCGAGTTGCGTTTCCTCGCGTCTTATGCCTGCCACTATTCTGTCTCGCAGCGCGTCTTGCAGAAACTGACCGAAATCGCACTTCCTTGCTAACTGTTTTAAGGCCACTATGAAGTCCTCGACGCTTTCCGGCTCTTCTTGTGCTCGCTTGTTAAATTTGCAACGTTCGGCCATGACCGAGCACTGTGGGCTATAGTGTTTCTTCAACAGCACTGTGACCTCTTCAAAGGACTTGTCCCCAGGAACAGCGGGTACTACCAAACTTTTGAGCGCCTCGTACGTTCGTGGTCCTATCACACTCAAGAATACTGCCAGCTTCTTTTCCTCTCTGATGTCATTTGCGGTGATGAAGTGCTCAAAACGCTCCAGATAGGATTCAAAATTCTGATCCTTCTCGTCGAACTCGTCTAGCTTGCCTAGTCGCGCCATTGTTCAGTAAAAGTGCAGTATACTTATCGGGTTGCTTTCCCCGACGACTGCGTTGCCTCTTGCCGAAGGTAGTGCCGCCGAGTTCAACCGTCCCAGGCCATGGCTGCCGTTGTTTTCTGGTCCATGGCTGTCGACCGCCGATCGCCCGCAATACTGCTTCGTACTGAGCTAGTACAAGGGGGCGGATCCCATCCTCGTCGCCAGTGTAATAACGTGAGCAGCAGACAGCATACCAAGAAGCAACTGATAAGTTTATTAGAAGACGCACCATATATAGGCGCAGAACCACGTGATCGGTCGCACAGGAATGCGCGCACTGGGTGCGCAGTGATAAGTGACGTCACGCTACAACAACACTGACTGATACGATGGCATTATTTTATACTAGAAACACCGAAGTATGGAAACAACACTTACAATAACAAAGTTTCAGCATAGTGACCTACATTTTTTTCTATCGGAATTTGTTCTGCGAAGGCGAACAGCTCAGGGCATTAGGCTAGGGTGTTCATCAACCTCACTTTAGGTAAATTGGTGTATTTATGAATTGGTAACTGATCATATCCGCGCATCATATCTGCAAACAACATACCGAGAAATGGCAATGAGATCTCATGATCCTAAAACTGCTCTCCAAAGTATGCTGTGCATTTTATTGTGGATCATGTTTGTTATACAACGCATGCTCTATCTACATTCGACATGTTTCAGAAGAGTATACATCCTTCCACGGTTATAGACGCTACTGCAATGTCACAGTTTCCAACATCTCAGCCAAAAGTTTGAAGTCTACATTACCCTGTTGAATGAAAGTTGATGCATCTTGAAGTGTCCAAAGGGTAATAGATTTCGCAGCCATCTCAAGGTCACTTGTCTTTTAACGCGACGGCGGTAAAGAGCTCGTTTCGCAGACATTCCAGCGTCGGCGTTGTCGTCGGTGTGAATTTCGATAGTTTTGAGCCAGAAATGATCATCTTAGGCGTGAACGAAAAATTTATCCGAGCAGGGTTGAAACCTGGTTCATTTGCATGGCAGGCGCGTGTTCAGCTTCACAGCCGTACGTCTGCTTGTGATTGCAGAAGAATGCACATTTCTGCTTGAAAGTCGAGTGATACAAAATTTCTTGCTTTACAATACGCGCAAATTGTAAACATCCTTCAAATACGACACTAAATATTGGAGCAATTATTTGTGGTGCAAGTTTCAATTGCCATGGGGAGTCAGAACATGTGATTAATCCAATGACTTCGTAGTTTAAAGGGGCCCTCAAATACTTTTTCAGGCAACCATGAAACAGATTCACTTAAAGGGTTCATTGGCTCCACGGAGGAAGGAAAGGTAAGGAGAGGGCATGCCCAGCCGGCGCAGGGCGTGAAAAGTGTGGCGTAAATGACATCATGGCGGCCATATTCACTAGGCACAATGGCGGCGTTGCTATGGTTACGTGTTGTGCAGTGGAGCTGGTCTCGCAGTGAGCGGCCGCGGCTGGCGGCGGAATGTGTGGCTCCCCAGGTCTCGTGCTGAGCCGTGGCGGACAATATCTGTGCTCTGTGCCGCGTTAATGGTTACGCAGTGTTCTCCTGGCAGTTACATTACTCTTAGCAACGTTTACAAATCCTCGTCCATCACGGGGTTTCAACAGTGCGTAGAACAAATGCATATCCATGTGTCGTGCGGCGGATGGCGCAGATGAAGCAGTTAGTGTTCAGCGAAATTGCGTTGGGCACCATGACGAAGCTGAATGACGACGAACGCCTTGCAGGTCAGTGACGGTTGAACAGTGCTCCTGCTTGTGACAACGGACGACGCTGTTGGGCCCAGCAAGACGCCATGAGGACCATGTGCACATACGTAGTTTCGTGTTGTGTGTGTACTGTAACAACTTGCATGTGCGTATTAAAACACCTTTTCTGTTGCGCTTGGTACACTCTCCATCAGCATTGCATGTAGTCTCAACGTAACAGCAACCGCGTTCAACTGCCACTAGCACCGTGCTCAAAGTCACCACGGTCGCAGAATGCTGACGCCGGTGAGTTTCACGCGGAACACGGACACAGTGGCAGGACGCTGCGTCGGCCGCGTGGCGGAATGCAAGCGTAGAAGGCGCACGACCAATCGTGTTGTTTGTACAGTTGCTGAATTATTGACGTGAAAGCACTCGCCGTTGTCAGTGCATCTAGTGCGCGTTCTCTCGTAGTTGCTTCGTTGTCGTCGAGCTGTTACTCCCTGTTATTACTCGGACGAAGCGATTTCGCTGAAGGTGTCCCGCAGGCTCAGAGTAATGAGCCCCATTCCATTAGTTTCAGATCGTCACGACACACGCGCTGCGCAGCCCACGTGCTTTCCGAGCCGGAGAGAGAGTCGTGCCTTCTGCTTTACATTCGGATGTAAACGAGCGAGGAGAATTTGCCTAGTCAATATTTATTTATTTATTTATTTATTTATTCATTTTACCTGCAGCGCCAACAAGGCATTACAGCAGGGGGGTATATGCAAATACATGAATATGATTCATCATATGGGAAAAAAAAGAAAAGGAAAAAGAGAACTGACATGAGAATAAGTGGTACAAATCTGCACAATAGCGCGTCAAATGTACAAGCAGTGCCACAATGAAAAATTTACATGTGCGACAAAAACGTGTGAAACAGAGCATCAGATGTACAATTAACAATAATACCTGGTAGTTTATTCTAGGCCTCAATGGAATGGGGAAAGAAAGAACCCTTGTACACATCAGTACGGCAATCAATTTCATGAATTTTTCATTCATGGTCGCGTCGCTTAGATACAAAGTGTGGGGTTAGTAAGAAAATTTTAGGATCAAGACCAGTCTTATTGAAATAAATACGATATAGTAGTTCAAGTTTGTGATGCAACCGACGTTTACTTAGTGTTTCCCAGCCCAACTCTGATTTAAGTCATGTAATGCTAGTGCGAAAACTATAACTTTTAGTTACAAATCGGGCGGCGCGGTTCTGGACGCGTTCTAGCAGTGTACATAAATTTTCAAATTGTGGGTCCCACACGGCGCAGGCGTACTCCGTAATGGATCTTACGTTGGTGAAATATAAAAGTTCTTTAACTTTTGGAGGAGCATCACTGAAGTTGCGTTTTAGAAAGTTGAGCATGCGGGAAGCAGAAAAGGACACGTGTTCAATCAGACGTTTCCAGGTTAGGTTAGATGAAAAATATGGCCGACTTCCGTCTTCATCCCGGCTTCACAACGAGTGACGTCAGGGCCTCTGCTTACCTTTCCTTCCTCCGTGATTGTCTCCCAATTTCTACGCTGCTAAAATTTTAGGAATCGGTCCAGTACGAGCAGAGTTACAATAATTCGTCGCAGTCTGTAATCACATTCTCACTTTTTTTGTCCCAACGTAAAAGCTTGAAGCTAAGCAGGGAGGGACGGCATAGACCAAGAAAATACGTCACGCGCACCACGTGACCTTGAGAACTTTTTCCTTTAATTTGAATGCGCGACCTTTCAGTGTGATTGCTTGAGCACGCGTGGACATGTGGTGGCCGCCCACAGTGGTTCTTGTAACGACCGAGTGCGCCATGTTCAAATCAGCCAATGACCAATAGAAGGTCTTCAATGAGTGATTGTACACTGAAAGCTGTTATGACATCAAAACTAGGGTCAAGCACACTTTTCTGGTGCCGCCGCCACCGCTGGTGTCCATAACCACATCACAAAAAATTATAAAAAACTAGCACTAATGACAAAGTGGGGCTCGATCCTGGGTCTGCTGGGGCAAGCCCAGTATTTTACCACTGAGCCACGCTGGTGCTTTTTTTCGTTAATGCATGGAAACAGTGCAATCAAAGGATGTTATATATAGCTATAAAATTAATCGTTTCAAATATATGCTCACGTGTACGCATGCACAAGACACATTTTCATGCAGTACAATGAACCTTCAAAAGTCGGGTAAACAAAGACGCATGTCCAGAAGTTCAAGCCACTCCTGGACAGGGTGGGACGTCTCTACAACAATACGCACGTTTGCTGCCTCTTCTTGGAAAACAGACTTGGTTGAGCGAGGTGGCTCAGCACGTCTGTGAATCATGCGGCTCCTGCATAATGAATAAAGGCCCAATAACATAATTAAATCGTATCGAGCATAATTGTCAGGAGTTTTTTATTTGAAAGGTAGGAGCCTAACACCATGAGTTGTAATAGGAAATTCTTTTTTGATGGTTCTCTTAAGAATGTCCCAAAAATGACACGCATCACAGCAACGAATAAAACAATGCTCGATTGTTTCAGGCTCGTTCCACAGTCTGGAATTTAGTGATCAGGGAACGTATATATCTTTTTCATGAAGCCACGTCTTTACAGGTAATATGGAGGAGTGTAGCCTGAAGAAAATTGTTTTCGCTGCTGGCGAAATACGCATTTTAAGCATACAATAGAAAACATCATGAACAGATCGAGATAAATATGGCTTTCGGTAAACAGGTTCAAGAAAAAGGGTGCTGACAAGTGCAGCAGTCAGTGTCACTCTGTCTACACTGTATAGATATTCCAAAGAGAATCTGGCTTTGAAAAACTGCATGTCCTCAAAAATGTTTGAAATAAACGCCACAATTGCGAGTTTTTAGCCACTCTTGTAGTGACAAAAAGAAAAGAGAGGTGGTAAGCAAGTCGATTCCGGATAATAGTAAAAAGGAACGGGTGACACACATCCTTAAAGTAAAAATAAAATTGCATCCCCAGTTGTCGTACAAACAAACGCACAAGACTAAGCCCCCCCCCCCCTCCTTCTCAAGCGGAGGAAAAAGGTTCTCTCTTCGCATGGCTTCCTAAGATAAATTCCAAACGAAGCGGGCAAATATCCAGTAAAACGCCTGGATATGTACGCGAGAGCAATGCAATGCTTGTAGAATGTAGATAAGCTTTGATGCAAGAAAGATTTTGCATGCTTCAGCTCTCGAAAAACGGAAAGATGCCACCGTTGCCAAGTTAACGCCTTTCGACTGATGGTGGTTAAGGTGGACGTCTAATGAGGGCCACTATTATGGTGGGTATCAATAGATACACCAATATAACAAACCGGAGCACAAATACAACAAATATTTGCAAGCACCGTGGGAGTTAGTGCACATGTGCCCAATCAATATCCTCTGGTTTTATCAAAATTTACATTAGCTTCGGAAATTTAACAAAAACGCATAGTAGTATTTACTGCTTCTTCAACACTCGGTTTATCTACGCAGAATAAGGCATTGTCATCTGCGTAGGATAACACTCCGATTTTCTCGGCTTCATATCAATATCCTCTAATACCTGAATCGAGCAGTACACTTACACAAAGCGGTACCAAGCATACTGCAAAAAGT